TATGACCCAGCAAGTTCACTGGTAGGAATACACCCAATGAAAACAAATATTCATGCAAAAACTTGTACATGAATGTCTACAGCAGCATTATTCATAATAGTCAAAAGGGCTAAGCAACCCAATGTCTATCAGCTGCTGAATGGATAAACAAATATGGTGTATCTATACAATGGAATATTATTTGGCCATATAAAGGAATGAAGGACTGATATATGCTACAACATGGATTAACCTTGAAAACATGCTAAAAGGAAGAAGGCAATAAAAAAGACCATATGTTATATGACTACATTTATATTAAACGTCCAGAACTGGCAAATCTATAGAGACAGAAAGTTGGTTATTGGTTGCCTAGGGCTGGAGGGAATAGGGTGACTGCAGGGATGATAGCCAAATGGTACAGAGTTTCTATTTGAAGTGAGGAAGATGTTCGAAAATTGACCTTGGTGATGGTTGCACATATATGTGAATGTACTAAAACCAAAAACCAAACCTGTTGCTGTCCAATCAATTCTGACTCATGGTGAACCCACGGGTTGCAGAGTAGAACTGCTCAATGGAGTTTTCTTGACTGTAATCTTTACAGAAGCAGATCACCAGGGCTTTCTTCCGTAGCATAGCTGGGTGGGTTTGAACTACCAACCTTTAGGTTAGTAGTCGAGCACAAACCTTTTGCACCACCCAGAGACCTACGAATGTACTAGAAACCATTAAATTGTGTACTTTAAATGGATAAATTATATGCTATGTTAATTATATCTTAATAAAGCTATTTAAAAAAAGACGGATTAAAAAAATGACTTATGTTTATAAGGAACTAATGTGGTTACTTAGAAACATAAAATTTGAGGTTTATTTGGTATTAGGAAAAATGCGTAGTAAAGTATGCTATCTAAATACATTTTTAGTGTTTTAATCCAGTAAGGATTAATTTAAGTAAACCCAGAGAGCACCAAGAGTATTATAAAATGCAATATAACGCAAAATGCTAACAACAAAAAAAATCAAGAATGTCAATTTCAAAATGCCTTTTTCCATGTATAAACATTCAACATTTATTCAATGGTTTCATCGTTAAATTCATAAGATGATCTTTGCTTTTTTTTTTAAATTCCAGAGTTGGGATGACACTGGGATTTTACTAATTTTAAGCAAGCAAACAAAAACAACTAATTCTTTTTCTATAATTGGATCTTGTATCTCCTTGATAAACTTGTGTGAAAATTTTTTTTTTGTAACTTAAGTCCTTTAAAGCGCCTTCTTTCAGGTGTACTTTGTAGCAGAAATCAAAGTCAAGTTCTTTTACAAGGTGTATTTTTTCCTACCTATTTGCTTCTATTAAAATGAAGGATGCCTAAATAAAAACAATTTAACACAATTTTCTATGCCCTAAAAATTAGATCCAACAAATGTTGGATCTGAACATTACAACCAACCAAACAGCAATGCGTCTGGAATGAATGAATGATGGCATATTAGATATTTATTAGTAGCGTCCACTAATGGAAAGAAAGAAAAGACCAAAATGGATGTAAGAAGAGACTCTGAAACTTGCCCTTGAATACTGAGTACCTAAAGCTAATGGAAAAAATGACGAAATAAAAGAGCTGAATAGACTTCAAAGGGTGGCTCGAGAAGACAAGGTAAAGTACTATAATGAAATGTGCAAAAACCTGGAGTTAGAAAACCAAAAAGGAAGAACATGCTTGGCATTTCTCTAGCTGAAAAAATTCAAGCCTCTAGTTGCAATACTGATGGACTCAATGGGCAAAAAAATTGAACGACCCAGTAAACATCAAAAGAAGGTGGAAGGAATACAAAGCCACTGTATCAAAAAGAATTGGTGGACGTTCAGCCATTTCAGGAGGTTGCATGTGATCAAGAAGTGATAGTACTGAAGGAAAAAGTCTAAGCTGCACTGAAGGCATTAGCAAGAAACAAAAAATTGACAGAATACCAATTAAGATGCTTCAACAAATGGATACAATTGTGGAAGTGCTCATTTTTCTGTGCCAAGAAATTTGGAAGACAGCTACTTCATCAACCAACTGGGAGACAGCCATATGTGTACCCATTCCAAAGAAAGGTGATCAACAGAATGTGGAAATTATCAAACAATATCATTAATACCACATGCAAGCTAAATTTTGCTGAAGATAATTTAAAAACGGCTGTAGCCATACATCGACAGAGAATTACCAGAAATTCAAGCTGGATTCAGAAGAGGACATGGAATGAGGGATATCATTGCTGATGTCAGATGGATCTTGGCTAAAAGCAAAGGTACCTGACTGTGTGGATTATAACAAATTATGGATAACTTTGCCAAGAATGGCAATTCCAGAACATTTACTTGTGCTCAGAGGAATCTGTACATAGACCAAGAGGCAGTTGCTTGAACAGAACAAGGGGATACCACATGGTTTAAAATCAGGAAAGGTGTGTGTCGGGTTGTATCCTTTCACCATACTTATTCAATCGCATGTTGAGCAAATAACCTGAGAAACCGTACTCTATGAAGCAGAACAAGGCATCAGGATTGGAGGAAGACTCATTAACAACCTGCGATACGCAGATAACATAATCTTGCTTGCTATAAGTGAAGAGGACTTAAAGCACTTATGGATGAAGATCAAAGACTACAGCCTTCAGTATGGATTATACCTCAACATAAAGAAAACAAAAATCTTCACAACAGGACCAATAAGCAACATCATGATAAATGGAGACAAGACTAATGTTGTCAAGGATTTCATTTTATTGGATCCACAATCAACGGCCATTGAAGCAATGGTCAGGAAATCAAACAACATATTGCATTGTGAAAATCTGCTGCAAAAGACCTCTTTAAAGTGTTAAAAAGCAAAGATGTCACTTTGAGGACTAAGGTGTGCCTGACCCAAGCCATGATATTTTCAGTTGCCTCATAGGCATGTGAAAGCTGGACAATGAATAAGGAAGCACCTACTGATGAAGGTCAAAGACTACACCTCAACATAAAGAAAACAACAATTCTCACAACTGGACCAATAAGCAACATCATGATAAACAGAGAAAAGACTGAAGTTGTCAAGGATTTCATTTTTCTTGGATCATTAATCAATACCCATGGAAGCAGCAGTCAAGAAATCAAATGATGTATTGCATTGGGCAAATCTGCTGCGAAAGACCTCTTTGAAGTGTTAGAAAGCAAAGGTGAGCCTGACTCAAGCCATGATATTTTCAGTTGCCCCATATGCGTACAAAAGGTGGACAATGAAAAAGGAAGCTGAAGAAGAACTGACACGTTTGAATTATGATGTTGGCGAAGACTATTGAATATACCATGGACTGCCGGAAGAATGAACAGATCTGTGTTGGAAGAAGTACAGTCAGAATGATCCTTAGAAGTGAGGATGGTGAGACTTCTTCTGATGTATTTTGGACATGTTATCAGAAGGACCAGCCCCTGGAGAAGGACATCAAGCTTGGGAAAGTAGCAGGTCAGTGCAAAAGAGGAAGACCCTCAGTGAGGTGGAGTGACACAGTGGCAGCAACAACGGGCTCAAACATTGCAAGGACTGTGAGGATGGAGCAGGATTGGGCAATGTATAGAGTTGCTATGAGTCAGAGCTGACTCGAAGGCACCTAAAAACAACTTACTGAATCTTGAACACTTAGTAATTTCTCATTTAATCTTGCAAAAACCCTGATATATAATGAGGGTTACTAACCCATTTTCTAATGAGTTCCAGTTCCAACATTATGGGTTTATTCCCAGGTTAGCCTAAAATCTGGAAACAGTCCCTGAAATAGGCCTGTTCTGAACCCTGTGGAACCTCAGTGTAGCCTGAGAAATGACAAGGCTGAGCAATTAGCAGTGGGGTTGGCCTTGCGGTATTTCTCATCTAGAGTCCTCTTCATTTTTTCTCAGAACCAGAGCCGGATCAGAAAGGACCCATCTTCTAGGGATCTTGACATCGCAATAATCTTCATGATGATCTGAACTTTGCAACACTATTTCTGTCACAAAGCCAACCCCGAGTCCCAGCCTCCTCAGGCTCTAGAAGCAATCCCCTCCAGAGGCCACATGATGTAGTGGGCTTGGTTTCCAGCTCCAACTCCTGTTACCTCTAAGACCTTCAATAAATTACCTCACTTCTCCGAGCTTCCATTTTCTCATCTGGTAAATTATATTAACGATATTTAGTTACCGTTAGATAAATCAGGGCTCTTGCAAGACTAAATGAGAAATTGCTCTGTATTCAATATTCTGTAAGTGGACACTATCATTAATAATTATTCAATCCATGAAAGGAGTGGTAGCACCCTAATTTAGCATCTCATGTGACTTAACTTTACTGCTAACCCTGTTTTCCTCTAGGCTTTTCATTTCGGCAAGCTACTAAGCTAAAATTTTAGCACTGAAGTTCAGAAGAATTGCTTCCTTAAATAAACTGACAAGAATACAGCCAACTTTTTGGAGAAGAAGAAAATATACACCCATAAAACTGAGGTGTGGACAATTGTTCTCTCTGAGATGATATTGATGCTATGTGGCCAGTGAGCATGAGAATGACATATTGCAAATGTATTAGTTATCACAATAACTAACCAGTTTGAACATCTATACCAACAATACCCAAAGAACTTTTCATTCTCCTGAAAAAGGAAGTGTGTTCAATGTTTTTCGCTTCTTTCAGATGTAGCCATAAGTAATATATTTGCTTCTTGCCTTTATCAACAGCTGTATTGATGCCCCATTTGGGAAATATAATGTTTTTGTCACATTGTTGCATATCTCCGCCTCCTTGAGAAATAATTATATTTATTGTTGGACCTGCAATCTGCATATAAACTATGATTATCTATTATTTCTTAAATCAGTGAATGAATGCAGCTTCTAGACATTGATAAGTCACTAAATAACAAGTAACAAAATAATTTCATTGGCATGAAGGGTTTTGCTGTCAGGAATCAAAAAGGTTAAGGTGTTATCTGGCACTATTCAATGTACATACCGGCATTTGCAACATGTAATACTCCAGAAATTATTTGTGGCATCTTTCCAAAAGAGGCACTCTCTATCAAATTCCCATGGCCATGTTTTCGTCTCCAATAGTTATTAGCATGAAGACATTTAATGTTGCCTTCCAATATACAAGTAACTGCAGAACAGCCGCTCCATTGAACTCTGGACACTTCTTTCCTTCCAAGACGTAAAAGCCTATCCATTCTCCAGAATGCTTTTGCAAAGGCTTTATGTATGGCCTCAAAGTCACCGTGCAATGCTTTTGTCTTTTTGGGAATGAAAGAGAAGCAGTCTTCTATTTTTGTGTATTCTTCCTTAAACACAGTGTGAAAAGAATCGATTACTTTTTGTTGTTCAGGGGTCATTTGGAAGGAGGGATCAAATCTGGAAATTTGTTGGAGAAGTAAAACTGGGAGTTCCATCGATGCCAAGTCTGCTGCTGAGACACCATGATGCCCATCAAACAAACCAAAAAAGCACACGTTGGATTTATTGCCAAAATTATTCACTATAGTGAATTTATCTTCCATGGTAGTTCTCCATGCAGAATTCCTGTCTTCACAGATGGCTACTCCTTTAATCAATAGATGGTGTATTTTTTGAGAATATACAGAACTCCTGTCAATGTTATCAATAATCTTATAGTATGCTGGTACTTGTTTCTTCCACATTAGCTCAAAAGCGTTATTAATGGTTTGTAGGGCTTTTTCACTGAATATAAAAGATGACAATAGTTTAGTAATTAAAAACTGCCTCTGAGCAACAATCTCTGATCGCAGTGGTTTCTTCTCACCCATCCAGTGAAAACCCAATGAGGTCAGAGCTGTATGTTGCTTTTTATGGAAGAAAAAACCAGGTAGATCAATTTCGTGCTTGCATATGGAACAGGGAAATGTGGTCACTTGCTCAGAGGTCTGCTGCTCATCAGCACGTTCTTCAGTGTTTTCCAATGGCCTCTTCCTCTTCTTCTTCTTCTTTCTAAAATATTTTCTTTTGTATGAAGTTGAGATTTTCTCATCTGCATCAAATGTTGATATTCTCATTTTCCATTCTCTTGACTTCCAAAATACTCTACAAAGGGGATGAAAGATATTTACATGTTAGGAAAAATGCAAAAAACTTTCTTCAAGCAGGCCCTTCCCATTGCAATTTGCTTTGGCTCCTCATGGTTTTATAAAAACCTAGGGTGAAATATTTTGATCTAGCTGTCCATAATTCCCTCAAAACACATATCAAGCACTCAATAATTTGATGATTGATCTGTGTGTGCCTGAATGAAATTAGGCCAATTCCCCACAAAGTCAGCTAGACATATCTAAGAACAAATACTCAGAGAAATTTGTAGAATATTTCATCCCAAACACGTGAAGTTATATGGTTGAGACCTAGGGTTTTGATTTAAAGCATGAGAATAATTACTTTTGCTCTCCATTTTATCTGGCTTAAAACACTTTTGTCCTAATTAAAGAGTTGGCAAGGAAATGAATGGGCCATGTCAAAACCAAGTAGAATAACGAAAAGAATCAGTAGTAAGCACAAATTTGTTTAAAGACTACAGTAGGGAAGAAGTGTGGACTGAGGAAAAGAAAGAAATGATGTGGAGTCAGATGATAAATTTCTAGAGGGCAGACACCCTTTCTTATACTTCCTATCCAAAGCATCTAGCACGGTGCTTAGCCCATGAGGCCTTTTTTATCCATTTTATGCTAGAGGCACAATTTGTAGGGCATGAGCTCTTTCCAAAGCCCTATGGAAATGTTAAGGAGCCCTGGTGGTGCAATGGTTAAGAGCTAGGTTGCTAACTGAAAGGTTAGGGTTTTGAACCCACCAGTTCCTCTGAGGGAGAAAAGACCTGGAGATCTGCTGCTAAGATTACAGCCTAGGAAACCTTATGGGGCAGTTCTACTCTGCCTACAGGATTGCTATGAACTCAACGGCATGTAACAACATGGAAATGTTGGAGACCTTAAAAAAAAAGTGGTCATAAAATATTTAAAAATAGGAAAAATTAAAGTAACTTTAAATGTTTACGAGTTGTAACATTTTGGAAACTAGTCAACTTCAACTCACCTCGTATATAAATTGTATTTAACGTGAGTACGTTTGAATATGTTAGATATAATGAGGGGTGGAGCATTCAAAAATAAGAATGCCTAGAGCCTACGAGGACTTAAAATATTCCAGGCACATAATAGATATGCTGCTTGTTGTTGAGATAAGAAATGAGTCCATTTAATAAGAATAACAATATAATAATAGGATCTTTTAGCATAAAAGTAATGCATAATCATTTTTTAAACTTCTAAGCTCTATACAAAAGGATACAAAGTAGAAAATGAAAAAATGTCCTTCTTGCTTCATCACCCCACCCCCAACTCCCAAGTTCCACTCCCAATAGTAGTTAATAGTTTGATAATCTATCTTTCCAGATGTTTTAAGGAATATATGTATTTTTCTGTAATGTAAGTGGCATCATATTTTACATAACATTCTAGAATCTGCCATTTTCATACAATACTATGTCATGAACAATAAATTCGAATACGGAGAGACAAAGCAATGTACTGTAAATAATGTGGACTTGGGGTTAAAAAAATCAAATCTTCACTTAACAATTTACTAACTAACCGTAGTCAAATTATGTAATGTCTTTTAGCATCCTTTTTTTTTTTAAATCTGTAAAGTACATAGGATTGTTTTTAGCATCAAATGAAATAAAAGGTAAAGAAATGGACACATAGGGGCACCCAAAAGATGCCCGGTCCTAGAGAATAAAACACCTTGGAATAAACCTAACCAGAGACGTGAAGGACTTAGACAATGAAAATCATAAAACACTGCTGAAAGAGATTAAAGAAGACTTAAATAAATGGAAAGATGTTCCATGTTCTCGGGCTGGAAGAATTAACATAGTTAAGACGTCAATACCACCCAAAGTGATCTATAGATTCAATGCAATCCCAGTCAAAATTCTAACAGCCTTCTTTACAGAAATGGAAAAACCAATCCTCAACTCTATGTGGAATGGCAAGAAGCCCCGAATAGCTAAAGCGATGTTGAAAGAGAAGAACAAAGCAGGAGGCCTCACACTTCCTGATTTTAAAACATTTTATACAGCTACAGTAATCAAAACAGCTTGATACTGGTATAACAATAGACACATAGACCCATGGAATAGAATTGAGAATCCAGAAATAAGCCAATATGGTCAACTGATTTTTGACAAGCGTGCTAAGTCCATTCAATGGGGAAATAAGAATCTCTTCAATAAACGGTGCTGGGAAGATTGGATTTCCACATGCAGAAAAATGAAACATGCCTCACACCATACAAAAAAACAAATTCAAAATGGATTAAGAACCTAAATGTGAAAACTAAAACCATAAAATTCTTAGGAAAACATGCAGGGGCAATGCTGCTGGGTCTAGCTTTTAACAGTGGATTATCTTATATAATAATAAAAACACAAACAGCAAAAGACAAAATAAATAAATAGGACCTCATAAAATTAAAAGGTTTTGTTCATCAAAAGACTTTACCAAAAAACTGAAAAGACAAGCTACCGACTGGGAGAATATCTGAGGAAACCATATATCCGATAAGAATCTAATGACCAAAGTATATATAAAACTTTGACACCTTAACAAAAATAGACAAATAGCCCAATCATAAAATGGGCAAAGGACTTGAATAGACATTTCCCCAAAGAGGACATTCAAATGGCCACCACACACATAAAAAGATGCTAAATGTTATTAGCCATCAGAGAGATGCAAATCAAAACCACAATGAGATACCATGTCACTCCCACTAGGATGACTAAGATTTAAAAAAGAACCAGAAAATAACAAATGTTGGTGAAGATGTGGGGAAACTGCAACGCTTATCCATCGCTGATGAGATTGCAAAATGGCACAGCCAGTGTGGAAAACAGTGTGGCAATTCCTCAAAAAACTAAAAATAGAGCTACCATATGACCCATCAATTCCACTCCTAGTTATATACCCAAAAGACTTGAAAGCAGAGGCTCAAATAGAGACTTGTACACCAATGCTCACTGCAGCACTATTCACAATAGCCAAAAGGTGGAAACAACCTAAATGCCCATCAACAGATGAATGGATAAACAAAATGTGGTACATATCTACAATGGAATACTACTCAGCCAGTAGAAGTAATGAAGTCTTGATACATACTACAACATGGATGGAGCTTGAAGACATTACACTGAGTGAAATAAGTCAATCACAAAAGAACAGCTGTTGTATGACTTCACTCATATAAAAAGACAAGAAAAGGCAAATACACAGAGACCAAAGTTTATTAGTGGTTACCAGGGGTAGGAGGAATGGGAGAAAGGTGTGGGGGGGGTTATGGTGATGGAAAAATCACACTGATTAAGGGTAGGGTTGCACAGCTGATTGTTGTAGTTGCTGTCAACAAGTTGTACACCTGTAGAGAGTTGAATTGGTAAAAGTTGTGTGATAGGTATATTTTTAACAATAGCAACCAAAAAAAAAGTAGCCGCTGAGGCTGCTTATGTACAACCAAAAACCTCAAGGTTTTTGGTTTGGAGATTTAAGGTTGTGGTTTTAAGAGACACCCTAGTTAACTGGCCTAATAACATGGTTAGTGCTTCTGTTCTACCTCTTAGTTCGTTGCATAGTGTCTGGGGTCTTAAAAGCTTGCAAGCGGTCATCCAAGGCATGACAATTGGTCTCTACTTGCCTGGAGCAATAGAGAAAGAAGGATTAGGAGGAGGAGGAGGATATAGAATGTGTGGCTAATTGCCTCCATGAACAATTGTCTTCTTTGCCATGAGACCAGAAGAACTGGATGGTGCCTGGTTACCATTACTGAACATTTTGATCAAAGATTCTATAGAGGAATCCTGATAAAAAGGGGGAAAATGCAGAACAGAATTGCAAATTCTAATGGATTCCAGACTTTCTAGAGCCATGGGGGCTGGATCAACCCCGGAAACTACTGTCCTGAGGTAATCTTTAAAACTTAAACCAAAAGTATCTCCTGAAGTCTTCTTAGAACCAAACAATAGTTTAGCTTAACTAGTAAAAAATGTCAGCCTTGAGCATTATGCTCTTTTAAGAACTATCTATATGGGATCAAAGTGACAACAGCAACTCAAAAGATTAATGAGGGAAGAACAACTCAGAAAAAACTTGAGAATGGTTGCGCAGCTTGAAGAATGTAATCAATGCCACAGAATTGCACACATAGAAATGCTATGGGAGAGAGTTACCTTAATAGCAGAACCTAAATCTGAATATTTCAGAAGTGAATAATATGTATTTATCAATTTGTTGTGATATATTGTATACTTCATCAATTAATTACAGTTATGTTGCACACTTTAACAAATAATAATAAACTGGACAAATACAGTACAATTTCCAGAAGTATAAATTAAATGTAAATTAAATTAAATGTAAATTAAAAGTGCATGTAAATTAAAAGGGCATACAAGTAAAATAATGTAATGACTAGAGCAAGTATGTAAACATATTTAATATTCTTGCCAGAACTGGCACCCTGCAAATAACACAAAAATCTTATTTCTAGGAAGAAAAGATTTCCATGATAAATGATAAAATGGTGCAATATGTGATAGGCCACAGGTCTTCAACTTCATATATGGTTTACACATGGCCATAAAATTAAAAATTAAAGAAACAAGCAAAGCTGTGGTAAGTTTTAAGTATTTTTCCACTTACGATTTATATCTAATTTCTTGAAATGCACAACTGTATTGGATACAGCTACTCATCTTTACATTAAAACTTTATTAACAAATTTCATCTTATAAATGATTCTAGAACTTTTGGGAAATTATGAATCTTAAGTTTCTTCTCTCAAATATTAAAACATATTATCCCACTTGCTGTCAAGCCTATTCCAATTTATGGTGACCCCATGTGTGTTAGAATAGAATTGTTACATAAGGTTTTCTGTTTTTGTTTTGTTTAGTGTTTAAAATTTATGTTTATTTAATATATGATTTGCAAATCAGAATAACATTTCGACTTGAGTGTCAAAAATGTTCTGAAGATGAGAGAGCCTCTAAAGATTCTTATACCCAATTTTATTGGCATTGCCATGGAAAAAGGGCTGGAACAGAACTGATATACAATTTGTGCTCAGGAAGGGTTTAATACAGCATTATCTCAAAATTAAAATAATTACTGTTTTACCCTAAAACATAGCTCCCAGACTGACTTTTGGAGTCTCATTTTCCCAGAAGTGACTGAGTTCTTCAGAAGAGCACAATAGTCAAGGCAAAACAATCTGACTAATTTATCCAGACCATTGTTTGACTCAAAGGTGACTTTTACAAAGAAGTTTCTTCAAGGCTCGAAGTTCAAAAGGACATCTAATGAGCAATGGGATTGGTGGGTTACCCCAACTTCATGGGCCCCAGAAATCTGGATTCCAGGAGTTTTAAAATTGTTTCTCAATTTCCTCCCTTTTGATCAGGATTCTGCTATAGAATCTTTGATCAAAAATGTTCAATAATGGTACCTGGGCACCATCCGATTACTTCCGGCTTCATGGTGGAGAGACAGTTGGTAACAGAAGCAATCAGATATAGAATGATTCCTCTTCCACTTGGCTCTCCTTTTCTCTGCTGCTCCAGATGAACAGAGACCAATCGTTGCACCTTGGATGACTGCTCACAAACTTTTAGACCTCAGGCACTACAGAGTGAACTAGTAGGTAGAAAAGAAACACTAAAACCAGTATTAGGCAAATTGACTGAAATAATCTACAAAACAATGACCCTAGCTCTTTGAACCAAGGAAACAAATCCCATGAGGTGTATGGTTAAGCAGTATCAGTAATTGCTTTTCATGTGCCTCAGCAGCAACTATATTCTGCAAAAAATTTCAGATTGCATATTATTAAAATAGGCACAGCAACATTCATCTATTAAGGCACAAACTCCTCCTTGGGAGACTAATACGGAATCGAACACTATTCTATTTTGTAAAGTCACGGCTCAAACTTCAGATACATCTCTAGTTATGGTCTTTACAACTTTGCCAACTTTGTCAACAGAAGATTCTAATTTGAGACTTGTGATATCTGAACCCATTTAAAGTCTGATTATTTTACTTTTAATGCAAGAGTCAGCTAGTTCAGTAACTAATATAAAGTATCCTGTGATAAGGGTTTTTCTCATCTTCTAATTCTTTTTTTAATCTCTTTTAAAGTTTCTTTTCTGGTCTTAATTTTATGTTCCTCTCCTATTTCTTATTTTTCCTTTTGGTAATTGATTACACATAAACACACAGGAATAATCTATAGTTAAAAATAAATAAATAAATAAACCCATTAGTTAAATAGTTTAGGAGAAAGGATAAAATGGTTTCTTATATCCAGAAAATAGAACATTAAAACATCAGCAATATTCCACACATAAAACCCATAATAATCTTTGTCCACTCAGTCCTATGTAGTTAATTTCTGTTCCACGTGATTGTGAATCATTGTGCAGTCTGTGAACCTGTCAGCATCAACACAAGAGTTCTGGAAATCTTGATTCAGTCTAGTGATATCCATGTTCAAAATATCACAATCCTTTCTATAAGTCTGATATAGCCCTTTTTTTGTTGTTGAAACACTCTGGTCAAGCACTTTCAGGGAGTCAGCAAAGAAACTATCTGCAGATGACAAAACTAAAAGATGGCCACGATTAACTTATTAGTAATAATAAAAACCTGATGAGAATTCATTACAAAATAATACAAAGCAAAATAATTCAATTTAAAAAAACTTTAGACAAAAATGCCTCTAAACATAATGATTAACCCCATTTTCAAAGAATTCCAGGTATAACATATAATAATCTTGAGACATAATACCATATAGTCAGGATATATCAAGAATATACCAAGATTATCCCGGGTCTAAACATCTGAATAGTAATAGAACTCCATAGGTAACCGATGTGAATTCCCCAGTTAAACCACTGGCTTTGCTGATGCTAGATTTAAATTTAAGAAATAAGGCTGTATCCAAGTCAGGGATTTTCATAAGGTTTTTGATGACTGATTTTCAGAAGTAGATAACCAGACTTTTTTTCTGAGGTGCCTCTGGGTGGACTCGAACCACCAACCTTTCGGTTATCAGACAGTACATAACCGTTTGCACCACTCAGGGACTCCAGAACATATTCTAAAGCTCTACTAATTAAAAGAGTATAGCTCATGCATAGAAATAGAACAAGGAAGAGTATAGAAAACTCATAAGAAGCCCCAAATATTTAAATATTTTTCATATAAGATGAAAAGTTAAATCAGAAAGAAATTAGTGAGTTTTATAATAAAGGTGTTGGGACAACTGGTCAAACATTTGCAAAAATAAAATTAAGCTCCTTTTTACATTCTGTATTCCAGATGGCTTAGATATTTAAACATAGCAAAATTTTAAAGTTATAATTAGAGTACTTGAAAAAAAAGTTACAGATGACTAGTTATTTATATAGCTTTTGAGAGGGGAGCATGATACCAAGGGAAAAATCATTGCATCATATATCTAACCATATATTTTGTAAAAACTGTGCATCAAACAATACCAGAAATGAAGAAGAAACACACACAAAAGTATGCATTGTATAGGACTGAATCTTCTTAATATATACAGTATTTACAACTAAGCAAAAGTCAATCGCCCTAACTTAAATTGGCCAATAAATTTTCAAAAAAAATTTTCAACCTCACTAATAACTAGATAAGTGTAAAAGAACCAACATGGGATAATATTATTTGCCTATCATATTGGGTCCCCACACAAAAAAGATGCTCCTCAGTACTGGCTAGGGTAGGGTGAGAAAAAACACTCTCAGACATTGCAAAAGGCAGCGAAATCGGAGTACTTTTTCTGGGAAGCATATTTACAGTAAATATCAAAAGTCTTCAAAACATCTTTGCTTTTTGGCTAATTCCATTTCTAGGAATTCAGTCGGAGAATATAACCAGATGTACCTGTGTATATAAGAATGCTCATCACTGTGATGTTTCAAAAGTTGAAAAGAACATAAATATCCAACAGTAAGGGATTGGTAAAATAAAACAATGGACTATCGTGAAGTCATTACAAATGATATTGCGAAAATCATCGTCTATTTTTTGGAATAGGTAAAGCTTCTTACGGTAAAACATTCAAATAGTACAAAAAGATATACAGTGAAATGTAAGCCTTCTTCCTACTCCTTTTTCCCCACTACCCCCCTTTCCCAGTAACACAACAGAGGCAAACATTACTGCTATTTTCTGGTGTATCTTTTGACCTAGTTTACGTGCGCGCGCGCACCCGCGCGCATAGGTGTATATAATCTCCTCCCCTTTTAAGTACTGTGTATTATTTACATTTCCGTACCTTGTTTTTCAAATTTATTATGTTGTTGTTGTGTGCACTGAGTTGATTCCCACTCATAGTGACCCTATATGACAAAGCAGAAATGCCCCATAGGGTTTCCTAGGCTGTAATCTTTATGGGAGCAAATTGCCAGATCTTTTCTCTTGTAGAGTGGCTGGTGGGTTGTAACCACCAACCTCTTGGTTGTGCCACGAGGGTTCCCTTCGTTTAACATAAAAATATATTAGTAAGTGGAAAAACATGTACAATGCTGGATGGATTTTGTGATGCCACTAAAAATATATCTGTCTACCTAGAAGGCTGTACGCCAAGGAAGTAATTGTTTATCTGAGATGACAGACATGTGTCTCCATCTAAAAGCTGATGACCCTAAACCCAGGAAGATAAAACAGTTTGCTCAAAGTGACACAATTGATGAGCAGCACATTTGATGTTACAACTGAACAGCATAATCCAGATATGGTCTGGCCAGCACGGAGTAGAGCAAAACTGCCTCCTTCTTTGCTCTGGATACTCTACTGTGTGAAGATGTTTAAAATACACATTTAATACATTTCATTATAGAGATATTAGAAAATAAAGATAACCTCCCAAAAGAATATAAGAATTATTCATAATCACACAAGTCAGAGAATTCTATTCTGTGTTCACAAAGTTATTACATGTATACGTAATTTTTTAAATAAAAATTGGATTACATTTTGGGTGACAATGTAAACCTGTGGATGCAAACTGAATTGCTAGTAAACAAAAGGCTGTGAATCCTTTCCTGTTCCCCACCCCCAACTAACTTCAGAAAATAAAGAAAAAAGAAAGAGGTTGGATTGGATAATTTCTAAAGTCTCAAATTGCTCTGTTCTGTTAAGCCAGCCTTCTTGTCCAAAATTTCATCTTGTTAATTTCAGCTTCCTGCTTCAGGATCTTAAATCCTTTCTGAAATCAGGCTGTGCCCTGTCACCCTATTAGTAAGCCTTCCTGGTTTTTATTTTAATGAAGAATTTCAAAATTACACAGAAGTGCAAAGAAGAGTATAATGAGTCCCCACATGCCCATCACTAGCTTCAACCATTATCAATTCTATTTTTTCACTCTTGTTTCATCTGCTCCCCCATCTACTTCATTTCTTTATTTTTTGCTGGAGTATTGTAAAGCGAATTCCAGGATCCTATCACTGTCACCCATAAATACTTCAGTCTCACCAACATAGTTGATCAGCATCCATTTATTTCAATACTTAACAACGGGCCAGCTACTGTACAAGGTGCTGAAGATGCACAGATGGATAAGATGCATAAGTGCGTCCTACTCTTGAAGCTCCCTGGGAAGAGTTCACAGTGCCATCCATATGCTCATCCGAGTCATTAAGAAGAGGGTTAAACAGGTCAGAAGAGCCCAGGACAAAGCCCCATTGGAGTCCTCAGCCAGGAACCTACACCTTCATCCAGCTTATGGTATCATAAGACCTTAGAAGTTAACCCACAAAAACTCCTAGTTGAGAGAAATCAGTAAGCAGTTCAAGGCAAATCCAAGCGCATGACCAGTTAGCCAGCAGGAGACAGAGGACCCAGCAAGAGAAATGGACCAGCAAGCAGAGAAGAGAATATGAATGAATGAACAGGCAAATAACATTCTTCTGACCAAGAGGTATAGAAAATGTTTTTAATTATTATTTTTTGTAATAGTCAGGGATAGGATACAGTTTTTATAAGGCATGATGAACTATTGGGACAATATACAACACCATGATACTATGATTTAACCTGGTGTCAATTCCTTATATAAATAAACCTCTATTTATTTATTTATGTATATTTTGGATAGCCATCCTGCAGCTCCCCCACAATGGAGCTATTCTTAGAATGCAGTGTGTCATTTGTCTGTTCATTCACTCATTCACTCACTCAACATATACTTAATTGAATGTCTGGTATGTGCCAGCCACTATTTTATTTGCTGAGAATACAACAGTGAACAAAACAAGCATGGTCTCTGGTGAAGCTTATATTCTGGTAGAAGAGATAGATAATAAGCAAAGAAAACAAACATAATATCAGATACAAGTAAGTGTTATCATGAAAAACACAGCAGAATAAGAGTGTAGAGCCCTCTTCTGTTTAAGGTGGTCAGAGGCATACATCACTCTTCAATGTGCACCGACAGTGCAATAGAAAACCAAGATTATATTAGGTAATTACTAAGAAAGAAGAGCAAAAAGAATACTGCAGACATAATTGTTCACTGTCTTAATTTGTTATCTAACAAAAGCCAAGAAAGTTTACTTGAAAGCAGTATTAATTTCCATGTTCTTTTGAAATTGATCCTTTTCTTTGCCATCCTGTTCCCCTCCTTTCCTCAGGTTCTGTTCCTCCAGCTTGGGTGGTGGTGGTTGAGGTGATGGCGATGATGTTGGTGGAGGTGGTGGTAACGGTGGTGGTTGAGACGGTGGTGTGGAAGGG